TGACATCATAACCCAAGCCATTTCTTTGTAGTTCCTTGGCAACACATACATTGGTCAGGTATGCCCTAGCAAAATCAGCTCCAATTCCCTGTCAAGATATAGAGTCAAATTCTTAACTGCTTTGCCTTTACATTTCAGCCATATCTCCAAAGAGACTTAGCTGGTGGACTTTACCATTGCCCAAACACGAAACTAGTGTAATAATTACCTTTGGCTTCATTCCTGTTATTTCATCTGGAAGCCTGATACACTGGTTAAGGTCTAAGGTACCAACAACCACTCGTTCCTCTTGACCTTTTGAAAACTGCGAAACCACAACAGCATAAAACATCTAAATGCGCTGCAAAATTATGCAAACAAAGGGAGACAAAAATAGGTCATAACCTTGTGATGAAGCAATGAACTAAACATCATCAGCATGTTCTCAAAAAGATTCAAGTTAATTCCAAAATGAGCAGCAAACATCATGAATCTGAAGGTTCCTCACTAATCCATTCATTCATCCCAAAACAGAAAACAGCAACAACATAATTTTATAAACAGGTAAAAGTACTTGTGCCCTTTAATACAGAACAGATCGTTGACATTTCTCTTATTAAAATACTTCCCCTCCATCTACCACGTTAAGTTATAGCGTAAAGATGGCAAAATATACAAAATTAAAGAAGATCTTAACCACAAATTTAGCTATAAACACGGAATCCAGAATGTGACAAAACATGATTCCGCCTTCAATGATAACTAATTTAAGATTTGACGTTATGAAATCTGTTTAGCAAAGATAGTTGCTTGAAAACTCAAATTACAAACAAATTTCTCACAAAACCAGTTGAAGGATGTATAAAAAATTCATAGGCACACTAGCCCATTGGACTGTTGGTAAGCCAAGTCCAGCTCACATTCTGACACCTTTACCCCATTCTGAATGCTTACACAACCATATGACATTATGTATACCAACTTTTTGAGCAGATTTTGCACAGCCTTCTGAACTTATGATCATCAGATAATATACAGGAAAGCCTTGTTGCCTTTTTTCTTTCCTTTTCTTCCTTCTCTTAAAATGTATGAGCTAAAATTTAAAACTAGATGGGGTATCCTGTGGCCAATAATGTCTCAGCATTTGAATGTGCAGATTGAGTGAGACACTGTCAATCTTTCAGTGCAATAGAAGGGAACAGAAAAATGAAATAACAAATTGAAGAATAAACACTTGGTCAACCATATATTGCCTTCCCCAATGTTCTTCTACTTGGGAACAGACTGAACAGTCTAGTGTTAGCAAGGACTGTGACCACAAATTAGAATTATCATCGTCAATCAAAAGCATCAACTCATACTCAAAATATCTTGTGCACAGCCAGCAAACCAGTCATACCAATCTTCACACAACCAGTAGATTGTGACACAGCAATGGTGACAGACCATTTGAACCAGAACTTGAAACTATCTACTGAACTCTAACAGACAAAGCAGACCATACAAGATAAGCCTGCAGTCTAAAACTAACAGAGTAGGATGCCGACTCATTTTGCAAGTAATATCTACTGAACCCTGATCTTCCAAGATTCAAACCACGAAATCAACAATAACGAAAGCTCATAAGTTTACAAGTTAATCACAACTGAGGGATAAAGCCCCACTAATGAAACAAAGAAGAGAATGGGAGAAAGAAAAAAAGGTACAAGCAAAAAAATGACAATTACAAAACATTCCAAATCCATTAAATGTTTATACACATGGATAAAACTGGCACTGCTAATATACCATTTAGAGATGACAGTATTTAAATTGAGTATTAGGAACAAGACAGAACAAGAATTACCTTGCAAGACTTGCATAAATCATCTGAGATGGTTGCTACTTGTGACCATGGTAATGTAGCATTAATACAAGAGACCTTTTTAAAGCCCAACCGTGTCCCTGCTATGCGTTCCTTAAGCGCCTTGTATTCATGTTCGGCCAAGTACCTTTTATGATCCTAATAATACTTGACAAGTAGAACATACTATCAGCATTACATTGATCATTTTACACATACATAGTACTGTCTAAATGTCATCAAAATCATTTCACATCACTTGTAGATTATGTATTTTAATAGAAGCATTACATACATGGCAAAGCACTCGAATCAAACAGTTCAGCTATGGCTTCTTTTCATCTGAATCAAATCCAACTTACTCTATCAGCATGAGGTCATATACAGCCAATAAATCATCTTGATTACCAATCCGCTTCCCCTGTTGCCAAGTTTCTATTTTTAAAAAATCCCATAAGTTTCTTATCACTCTTAACAAGAAATTAAGCAAGAACAACTAAATCACACACAAAAAACTAAGATAAACAAAGAACAAGAATCTAGAGTTAAAAAAAAAAAAGAAACTTTTTTTTTTTATCAAGGCAACGTGAAGGGATTTGAGGTTGGAATCCTCAGACTCACTTGAATGCCAAAGTCCTGGTCTTGGAAGTCATAGAAAGTTCGGACGCGGAGACAGGCTGCAGCCCAGAGCTCAGTGTCCGAAGTGGCTTCAGAGACATCTAGGAATGACTTGTCAATTCTTATTTTTTGTGGTGCTGATTCCTTTGTGGTTGGTTGTGGTGTTTGCTGGTGGTTATAAAGTTTCGAAGAGATGGACAGTGACAAAAATGGTGGAGGTAGTTGGCGGTGACAATGGGTGCCGATCAGGGCGGTGGTGGTGGTGACGACAGGGTGGACTTTTGAGTTGAGCGGACAAGGTGATCTTAGGATAGCCATTTCCAGTTTTTCTCCGTCTTTCATCCAACTGCCGGGTTTTCTTAAAATACCATTCTTTTGGTTGGAGGCAAAAGCAAAGGATCCACGATGGAAAAAGAAAATTTGCAAATTTAGTACCAAACTCAAAAAATTGGTGCTTTTCAGCCTCATTTGATGTCTTTTCTTGATTCTTAGTACATCCAACAAAGGAACCCAGATGTTTCAAAAGTGATATATTTCAATCTAGAATTTTTTTTTTTCATGAAATTTTCGATCTAGTTAATTACCAAAGAAAAATAAAAAAATTTAATTAAGTTGTCAAATTTTACAGAGAAATTATTTTAAAAAAGTAGAAAGAAAAACATATATTACTAAATTGTGCTATGATAGTTTTTATAGAATATCTTGTTTGGATTAAAATTTATTTTAATCATTTGTTTAATATATTAGTGTAGAATTTTTTCTAACGCAATGTACTTGAGATCGTTAGAAATATGATAATTAAGTGCAAATTTTTTTTCAAAGAATGCACTTGCAAATAATTTTTTCAAACGAAAGCATAAAAATAAGAAGTACGTAAGAGACAAAAAATATAGAAAAAGAAAAGAGAAAAGGTATCCAAACAAAGAATGAAGCCTAAAACATAGCTTAACCTCCATTTCCAACTATATAAATATAATTAAACCTCAATAAAATTTTTAAGTTGAGTGTTGTACAAATTCTCGAGTCCAAACTAGGGGTGATCAAATTTGATTCATACCGAATTCAAATTCAATTCGGTAATTTGAAATCGGGTATTTGGTAATTTGGTACAAATTCGGTACATACCGAATTCATCGAATTCTAATATGGTATAAAATAGGTAATGAGATTATGAATTTGGTAATAACCGATTTCGCATTCAAATTCGGTAATTGAAATAGGGTACCGCATTCGAATACCAAATTGGTATATAAAATTATATAATATATAGATAAATGCTATTTATTATTAGTATATACTACTAATATATTATTATATTATATAGGTAAATGCTATTAATAATAATTAGTATATCATGTACTTATAATAATAATAATATATAATAATGTACAATATATTATTTTAGTATTTGTTAATTGTTATATGACTATAATAATACAAATATATAGTAATACATAACAATCTAAGATAACTATAATACTTATTATTTTATACATGAGTAACATGAGTAGAATTAGATAATTAATACATATATGTATAATACTAAATATTAAACAATAAACATAATTAGTAATTAGAATTTAGATATTGATAATTTGATACATCATTCATGTTTGAATTATTGAATATTTGAATGCGTAATCTGTAATTTGCAAATATTAGTGTGCTCTAAATTTACATTACATATTTAACATAAAAATTCATATTATCTATTCACTAATTTTAAGATTTTAAGTATAGATAAGACAACTAAGCAGTGTAAGTGAATGCATATGAATTGCAAATCAATGTATTAGTGTATTGACTTTCACAATAACATATGTAAGTAAATAAGTTTTATTTTGATTTGAAATAAATTATAAGTTTATAACTAATATAACTTATCACTAATCATTGTAATTTGTAAGTTTGTAACTAATATTACTTATTATTAATCATTGTAAATTATAAATTCATAAATTATCACTAATCATTGTACAGTCTAAGGTTTATTCTAATTTAAATTAATCACTTTTTATGTATTCCTTAAATCATAAACTAAGGATTCTAGGTATAAGTGATCAAATAAGTTAAAATTCATATTATCTATTTACTAATCTTAAAACTTTAAGTATAAACTAGACAACTAAGCAGTGTAAGTGAATGCATGTGAATTGCAAATCAATGTATTAGTGTATCGACTTTCACAATAACATATGTAAGTAAATAAGTTTTATTTTGATTTGAAATAAATTATAAGTTTGTAACTAATATAACTTATCACTAATCATTGTAATTTGTAAGTTTGTAACTAATATTACTTATTATTAACCATTGTAAATTATAAATTCATTGTAATTCATTGTAACTACTAACTAATATTACTTATTATTAATTATTATAAATTATAAATTCATAAATTATCACTAATCATTGTACAGTCTAAGGTTTATTCTAGTTTAAATTAATCACTTTTTATGTGTTCCTTATAAAAAAAGTAATAAATAAAAGATATTAGGGATACAATTGATATTATATATGCATCAGGGGAGGAAAATGAAATTATCCATTTTCACAAACAGGCGCCTTAGGGTAAAGCCCTTCGCTATCACTGAACCCACCCTGGTCGTCACTTTTGTCTAAGCTTCCACCACCGTTACTCCCACCACCTCCCTCCCGACAGCTCCACCGCAAGAAAACGTAATCGGTCTCTCTGAAATCATCAATAGGACTCCACTTGAGGTAAAGCTTAAATTTTTTCCGTTTTCTTTAATATGCTTGTATATATATGTCACCGGTGCTTCGAAATATTAATTCTTTTTGCAAGCTTTAAGTCGATATACTTGTTATTGAGCTCTGCAATCGGAAAATCATTATGTTGAATTATAATTTTGTCTACTACTAGGTTATCTTGTTGAATTTTCACTGGATTTTGAAAATATACTGCTTGATTTCGTCGGCCTTATGAACAATATACTGGAAATCTTGACCTTGACACAATTGAGATGCATGTCATCCTTATATGGTAGAGATTTTACTTCACTTTTGTGTGGTTCATATGGAGCAGACTCCGAAGGTGTTCTATCAAATTTTTTGGCTTTTGCAGGAATGACTCCTTAAAATATTCGGGGAACTCACCAGCATGTTTACCACCAAATTCCTCTGAAGCTAGCTAGTCGTTTCTCTTCCATCTTTCCCGCCTGCAATTCGACTTATTCTCAGACAAGGTTAATCACTTTCTTTGTCTTAGCTTTTACGTTGTAAAGTTAATTTTCTGCAATTCGACTTCGAGCCTCGCTTTATTGAAGTCTTTTTTTTTTTTTAAATTCCTCACTTTATTGTTCTCTCTCTCTCTCTGGAATCATTTGAACTAATGGATGCTCCGGTTGAGTTAAGAAATTGCATTATGACTGAATTCGGTTGGATTACCTGCTCAGGAAACGATTTTCCAGTTGCATGGGTTTTAGTTTTAGTGGGGGTTCTGGAGCAGAATTATGTATTCTGCTAGCATAGTTTATATATTCTGGAGCAGGATTACCCCCGGTTGCTGCTTATTTCCCTCGGTTTTGCTTAATCAGTTTATATATTCTGCTAGCATAGTTTTTTTTTCCTGTGAATTCTTTTAATCATTTTTTTTTCAGTTTGTTTTCTAGTCAGTTTTGTGTAAATTGCTTAAAAAGAATCACAGTCATTTCCAGTTGCATTTGTTCAAAATCTGTTTGCAAACTCGAGAACTAACATATGTACATGAACATATATTTGCAAACTTAATCTACTTATTTGAAGGCCATTTAGTTCTTTTCCTGCTGTATATGTAATTTTTTGGGTTATTTATTGGTCCTGTAGGTTCTTCTGGGTTTGATTGGACTTGTCGGTAGTATAACCTGATGAAAAAGCCGGGGCCTGTTGCCATTTACTGTGAATGGGTCTCTCGTAAACTTCAGGGAAATAAAAGTGCATTTTCATTATTGCAACCTAATTCATATGGATTTCTCTATTGGTTTCTGTAGTTAAGTGCATTTTCATTATTTTCATTATAAAGTCAAGGCAAATGGGAATTGGTTTCCAGAAAAATTGTACTAGTATCTATTTCCAAGAGAGCATTGTCGATCAATGTTAAGTGCTGTAGTTAAGTGCTGTTTTTTTCCAGTTAAGTGCTATTTTTTTGGGGCTGTTTTTGCACTTTTTTTTCTTGGCTGATATTTGGCTGCTTGGGATGATTTAATATGGAAAATTTGATAGAATGTTTTGAATTGAATGTTTGGGTTGATATTTTGCACTTATTGAATTTTTGAGAGTAAGAGATGGCTGTCTAATCATGACTTGTCCAGGTTCAATATGTTTCTGTTTCTGATCAGAGGAAGAGAAGAAGTTCGTGGCTTCAATGATTGTGCTTAGTTTGTACTTTGTAGTTCAATATGTTTCTGTAGTAAGAAGTTCTTGGCCTGCTTTTGGTTTATTTACTTATTTCTGATGTTGAACTATGTGACCGAGAATGTTGAACTTGTATGAAGTGCTGGGCATTTAAATTCTAGATTTTTATGTGGCATGGATTTCTAAATTTATGATTGTATTTAGTGAAAAATTTGTAGGTCTTTTTCGATTATGATCACGTGAAAAATTATGGTCAATTGTAGCCATGAATTGTAGGCTATTATTATGCTCATAATTTGGTTAGGAATAAGTTGATAAAATGATGTTTTTGTTAGATAAATTTCCAAAAATTCGAGCTAGTGAGCTGCTTACGAGTCAAAAATTCGAGCTCACGATTCGAGTTGCTCGCGAGCCAAAAATCGAGCTTCAACTCGCGAGCCTTATTGAGTCGAGCTCGATCCTAGCTTTTTTTAGTCGAGCCGAGCTCGAGCTCAATTTCTCTAGGCTCGTCGAGCTTGAGCTCGAACTCGAGCCCACCTATTTTTAAGTCAAGCTTGGCTCGATAAGTCCAAAACTTGACTCGACTCGGCTCGTTTGCAGCCCTACCTCGAACGGCCGTAAAACCCCTTTGATTCGTTAAGTATTTTCCTCGACCAAACCTCCCAGACAAAAAGTCGCAAAGAGCAAATACCCTCCCCCTTTGTTCTTCTTTCTTCTTTGGTCTTCCTGATGGTGGCGACCCATATCTATCTGTCCGTAGATAGCAATATTTCCAGGTATCTTTATATATTTCTGTTAGTACTTAGTAGTGTATATTAAATTTCCCATACTAGTTGCCTGCTTCAGGTTTCATGATTTTTTGAATTCATATTCCACTTTCCTTTTTTGCCGTCTCTCTTTTGTGGTAAATGAAGAATATTTTCATGTTGGTGGGTTGTTTAATGGTGTATACTTTCACTCAGCTTAATAGATGGGAAAATTCTTTAGCTGAATAATCATAATTAGTTGTGCTATGTAATTGCATCTGAATAGTTGTTAAACTAGGACAAAGTTTTAAGCTTTTTCGGTTCATCGGTTTTTCTTTTTTCTTTTTTTTTTTTTCGATTCTGGCTCAAGGACTGGTAGTTTTGTTTCTTAGTTGGATTTTTTTGACTTTGAATGGCAATGTACATAATCTCTTTTGGGCATTGTGTGTTATGCTGTTGTATGTATGTCAATGGATTTAATTCAAGGGAACTAAGACTATTAGCTTAGATTTTGTGCTGGGTAACGTAAATAATGGACATTTTTGTTGTAGAAGTTTAACCTTGAAACACTTTAGATGAATGACTGGCTGCTAAGTAGTTTTAACTCTTCCTCGAGTCAGTCCAGTGAGTGCTGGAGGAAGTGGAATTAGATCCCACGATACACTAAAAGAAACAATGGAGGAATATTAGTTTTTCTTCTAACTCAAACTGCTGCATGTCAAACACTATAAGAGATTTGCTTGCCATTTTTACTCTTGTTTCTGTGAGTCTTGATTCCACCGCAATGCCTCAGCTCGAGTTCTATTGGTTACTAATTAAATGGACATACAGGACATTTTCATAAGGAAATGCAGAAGTCAAGTGTTAGGATTTTACCTAACTTTTTTGGTGCATAAGAAAATATACTGCAAATCTTAAGTCAGAAAAATCACAATTTGGGATGGATTTCAATTTTCTTGTTTGTTATCAATGTTCTCATGTTGATTCATTATTTTTCTTGTTGTTGATAGATGAGAGTAAAGAAGCAGAAACGCCATCGAAAAGCTGTCAGATTCTATACAGCTTGCTTTGGTTTCAGGGAGCCTTTTAAAGTTCTGTGTGATGGAACTTTTGTGCACCACCTGCTTCTCAATAAGATCACTCCTGCTGATATTGCGTTGGCTAATGCTTTAGGTGGCCCAGTAAAGATTTTTACTACCAGGTCTAATGGCTTCCTTTTGCTGCAGAAAATGTTTAGACAAAATCTTTCAGATGATTTGCATTGTTAGTTTTTTAATTTTCTGGTAATACTTTCAAAACTGTGTTCCAGGCCATGGCTTCTTATGTATTTTTTTCCCCCTGTTAAGGTAAGCGGCTAAAAGAAATTGTAAGCTGAAGAAATTCACAAATTGTTTTGTTGTGAGTTTTGGTTGTAACTAAATTACATCAGAATAGATTATAGTTAGCGAGGGACCCGAAAGGAGATATCTTTAAAACCAAAAAAGGGCCGAGTTTTCATGTGAAATGTAGATGAGATAAAGAGACATGGAGAAGAAGAAAAGGAGAGAGTGAAAACTTCCTTTTGAAGTTTGTAACAACGTATTCTTTGGAGAGTCTAACTTTTGGTAATATGTAGATACCATAGACACTTATAGGATTTGTGCAAAAAACAGTTCTGGTATTAAAGCTGAGGCTTTGTGCTGAAATCTGATTATCAGACAAAATAGAAGTTTGCAGAGTAAAGAAGTACTCTTGATAGTGATGGTACAGAAACTTGAACTTGTGGTGATAAAAATGCATCCTGCTGAAGGCAATCATTAGCTTATGGTTTCATTGTACTACTGTGTGAAAATGCATTTAAAGCATCCTTAACACTTGTGCTGTTGCATCTGTGACTTGGGCCATAATAACAACTGCCAAGGGGGTTGCCATAGCATTTTTTTTTTTCAGATAACATTTTCATACACTGTTGGTGTAAAGATTTATTTACACAAGCAGGTTTAGATCATGCCACATAATGTGAATTCAAATTTGAAATTCAAATAATGTACATGTGGCATACATTCAAGGCTGCTAGTGTAAAAAAAAAAAAAATCACTACAGTGTCCGTGCATAGAAAGTTAATCCTTTTTTTTAATGAAAATTCAAGTTAAAGATGTCTTGGCACAAAAGTGAAGTTCCATTACCATTTTTGGTATGCATTCTGGTGGCATGAGAAGTGGTAAAATGGCGGGATGATGCAATGGTGGTACAGATTATAGGCATTTGGTTGGTACTCTTGTAGGGCAGTCAATTTGTACAAAATTAAAGGTGGTATAGGATATATATTTTCTTCCTCAAGTGGCCTTAAGGGATTGTATTGTAGATATGGATCTAGGTGGTGATGAAGTCCATCACTGTGGTGGTAGTGGTCGGATGCCTACAACAAAACAAGTTGTGTCTGTGCAAATAGTGACTTTTATCCTAAGTTTGATTTATTCTTTTCCCTTTCAATGGAAGTTAAATGCAATAATTCTTTCTCAGAGCACTTTGTGAACTAAATATTGGATTATCCTAATCTTGCTACACTTGAATGAAAGGATTTCAATGCTAGGTTGTTCTTTTCACATGTGGTTCTGTATGATGTGCTAGATGTTTGATGAGCATAACCTTTTTGTTAACTACTCATTTAAGGTTTCACTCCTGGTTTCAGATGTGTTCTTGGCGAGTTGAGAAGCCTTGGTGACTCCTATGCTGAATCTCTTAATGCAGCTCGTAACCTTTTAACCGCAAGGTTTGCTTTTCCTTGCGTACCTCTTACTTCTCTGAGGAGTTTTGGAAGTTTTTTAAATACAGAGTTCTACTGACTTGATTTTCTAATTGGCTCCTGTACAACCAAACATCTGTAAAAAAAGTGTTTGTACAAAAATGGGTGGTGATCATGTAGCATCATCTTTCTCTTTTTAGTTTGTTTCTGTAAGGAAACATTGATGAACTTTTTATTCAGGTGTGACCATGAGAAACGGAAGAGTGCTGTCAGTTGCATAACTGATGTTATTGGAGAAAACAATTCTGAGCATTTCTTTGTGGCTACTCAGGATGCTGAATTGCGGAAGAAATTTCAAAAGGTTTGTTCAATGTTTTCTTCTCCACAACACCATAGCATCTAGTCTCTCTCACTTTATGCTAACTCTGTTGGTTGAACATTAGACAGCTATCTGATTTTTTTTGCATTTTAAAGTCCAAGTATGTGCCTCATGTAGTTGCATATGGTTTTGGTTTGCTTAACTTTCATAGGCAAGGTATAAGGTGTTAATATGATGGGAATGGCAGGCTCCGACTTAGTTTGATAGTTGCCATGAATATAATTAGTTATATTCCCGTGAGTAATTGATGAGTTGTCTGACTCTATCATCAATAATCCCAGTTGATTGGTATTCCACTTTGCTTAGGTGTTGCATATTCTTTATCAACCTTGTTTGTGACTTCCCAATAAGTGGATGATTTTGGGTCCTAATGTCTGAAAGGGGCTTAACCTTTCTAACTTTTTAGGTGTTACTCAATATAATGGAGAGTGGAGAAGTATCAAACTGTTGATCACTCTTTTTAGAATCTAAAATAGACATATTCTCTTTAGAACTTGCATAAGGTAGCAGGCATTTTACCTCTTCAACAAAATTTTATCTATTTCTACCTTTTCATTTTCCTTAATGTCTACTTGATGCAGGTACCAGGTGTTCCTCTTATTTATGGCCTTCGGAATGCCTTATTTCTTGAACAGCCGTCAGCTTTTCAACACCAGTTTGTTAGATCTGCTGAGGAAGATCGTTCACATATGACTGACTTGGAATACAAGTTGTTGAATGTAAAGAAAAAGAATGTAGCCTTTGAGGAAGCAAAGGATTCTTCTGATGCCAATGAAGACAAGAATGATGGTACACTCACGGTTCAGGCCATCCAAACAAATTTTAGAAAAAAGAGAGATTTAAAGGACACAGTTCAATTCAAGAGAAAGAGAGCTAAGGTAAGAATCCATCATCTGGCTTCCCCTTCATGTTGTGATTGCTGCAAGTACTTTTGATTGGCATGTGCTTCTCTAATTTTTCAATTTTTTGAATCTCTGTTGAGTATATCTTTTCTGAGCTCCCTTCCCTTGTACATTGCAGGGTCCAAACCCACTGTCCTGTAAGAAGAAAAAACCATGTGATAATACAAATAATGCTGCTTCAGTAAAGGTTGGTTTCATTTCTGAATTCTTGACCTGTATTCTCTGCTTGTAATTCTTGGATTGCGTTCAGTATTATTGTGTTTTGCATTTTTCTGGTTGTACATCTATGCAGTTAATTGTGGTTAATAAATGCTCTTCTGGATGTTTCAATGATCCCTTGCTGTTTTTCTTTCTCATGAGATGGAGTTGAGTGCAGGAAAATGGGAATGGAGATACAACTGTGAGAAGCAGGAATAGAAAAAGGAAGAGGTCACGTAAGAGTAAAAATGTTTCAAAAGCCAACGTCTAGTACTTTTGCTTCTCTTCGTTTTTGTTTGCCGGGTTGATCGGTGCTTTTAGTTACAAGTTACATTTGCCGAGTAAGGAAACACCCAACTAGAGAGTATGCAGTCTATAAAGGTCAAACTTCAGCTTCCTCACCAGATAAAGTATAATGCAGATTACCATGTCACAGACCCTTCGCTTGCATTTTTCTCCTTTTGGTGGTTGTGGACAGGCGGCCTTTAGGCTTAGAAGAGGGTGGTAGGAGATGATGAGAATTATAGGAAATTTTGGGTTAGTAAACATTCTACTGGTTGATGCCTTCAACTTTGGCATGATGTACCCCTCTTTTGATATTGTTGTAGGTTTCAGTTTGACTTCTTTTCTCCCCTCCTAGTGTAAATTAATTTTGCTTCTAAATCTCCATATACCAATTGTTGTATTCTCATTGTTCGGAAATTCTATTGATGGTGTTTGTTTATTTACCCTACAATGAATGTTGAAGGGGCGCAAGTTGTTTAACAACCCTCCAAGCATTTCTTTTCCCTTTCCTGTCGTTATTACCTATGCCTCCTTGGCCTGGTATGCATAGCCTCATAAAGCTTCAGACATCCTGGTTAAATAAGCAGTGGAGCGACTTGTTGGAGGAAGAATCTTGACTCGAACAGAAAACAGTGGTCCATCAATAGCGGTTGCATGGAAGCACGACTCTCATTAATTGGGTCTGCAATATTCCGTCTTGATTTGCCTGTGCTGTGTAGATGATTAGCCAGTTTGCCTTTGAAGTTTTCTAATATTGAACTTGAGCTATAAAGCAGATGTTATTAAAACTGTGTGAGCTGCCCTCGCAAGAGTTTTGAAACCTCAGAGTCCTGCAAAAGAACCTCACACCAAAGGAAAGCCATTAATATTATAGCTCAGCAACCATTTCTGGTAGGTGTTTTGGTCACATTTTCATTCCTTGAGTTAGTACCATGATGTGTTAAATTTTGAACCACTAACTCTACGTAGTAAATAGGATCCATCAAGTGTTTGCCAATATCATTTTGCCTGCTGCATATGGCTTTTGATCAAGATGGCATGTATGGGCTAGAGGTCATGTTCAACCTAAACTCATCATTCTTTAACTGCCCTTGGAAGAATTTTTGAAGTTATAAACACTTGAAATGATGGGTGAGATTTCGACAACAGCACAACTTTCGAAAACAGCTTTCAAAAATTTGCAGACCAAAGAGAACCGTTTTGTCTAAGTAGAAGGAAGGTCTTTATTCACAGCCACATGCACCTACCAGTCCTGTGGATATTCATATTTGCTTATTGTACCGTGTCCGAGCACACACACAGCTATTAAAACAGCAGTTTCAGTTTCACCGTTGGGGAGCACTGCTTTGGCTTTGCTTGATGGGGATGGCCACATGCAGATACAGACAGGACTAACACCAAGTGAATTCATCCCTCCTCTGTCTTACGTAGGCGGCTATAAATAAAGGGCAGAATATATTATACGAAAGATGAAAGACAGAACAGCACTGACGGATGGATTGATGGATGGATTGACTATGTATTGTCACATCCTCATCTTCAATGTGGTGATGATTACACGAATTGAATGCCCCACCACCCAGAATAACGAAAAACGCCCAAAAATATATATACAACAGATTTTCTTCAATTTCTTGAAATGTTGAAGAAATGAGTTTGTCAGCAACAATTATAGAAAAAAAAATAAAAAATGAAACACACTCACACACACAAAAGATGTGGATGCCCAATTTTGCAAAATTTGATGAAATTATTGTTGTGTAGAAACATCCATTTAGACAATGAGGTTCAAATAGACTCATATTTGTATTACTTTGCGTTTATGTACTGAATTTGCATTAAACAATGATATATAATACACTAGTATTCTATAACTTTTGGACCAACTCCTTTGTGTACGTTACTGTTACTGTTGTGGTCTGAGAGGAGCAGTGTCCTTGGCACAGTGGAATAATTGCCTATCCCAAGTCCCAATTCCCAATTTCCAAAACTTCTCTGCAGTTGATAGCTTGAGCTGAGGCAAGAAAATCAATGCAACAGAAACCCTAATGTGAAATAACTTTTTCCCTAGTCTGAATGAGAGAGACAACACATGGATTTTCAGAAGGAAGAAACTGATTTACAAATTACAATGTCTGATAATCCCACTATGTAGCCCAGCTTTAATTGTAAAGTTGCTCATTAAAGTTTTCCTCACCCTCCAAAATCATCACAATATCTTCCCTGGCAGTGTGTAGTCTGTCCAGCATCAAGAGTGTTCACCAGAGGGTCAGCTGCAGAAACCAGAGAAGAGTCCGTCCTTAGTTGGACTCACCTTCTGATTTCATGGCCTTACCTTGTATGGATATGTACATGTCTTGACAAATTATTTCATTATTATGAATATCATTGCCTAAAATCAAGATTTAACTCTCATAATCTCTTTGTTATAAGCTTGCTTGATTAACATATATGTACCCTTTTGGTTGGTATGTTTACAGTACATGATTTTTCCAATCACGCTTTTCAAACTAATTTCTTATGACATGTATACTTCAGAATTACGTAGAGTTAGAATTTTCTAACATATTTATTCTGAAAGTTCCCATCAGAAAGACGAAGATAAGTTGCTGTAGTGTATCGTAGGAAAGAATTTTGATTACCAGCTGGGCTCGTAACCTCTCGTGCCACTATAACCAAACGCATTACTACTAGGCTACAAACAAGAGGCCTTGATCAACGAATCCTTGTACTGGCAGTTTTATCTTGCATCTTGTTCACTAGCGGCTAGCATAATTTATGTGACAATAATGGCTGCAGAATTGAGCTTTCTAAGCCCTGAAGCGGGCGAAGCGAAAGAGACAAAAAAGAAAAGATGGAACTAGGAGGTCTCTTCTCAGGGAATTATTTGTCACCATTGACTTGGCAACTTTACCCAAAGAAAGGTCACTCGGCTATTAGTTGAACACAGATCGTGATACTTAACTACCCATGTATGCACATAAAAGATTATCAAGTTACAATTTTTGCACGAAATGTGGGGGTAAAAGCTTCATAAACTACTGCATTTAATATTTTGTCATACTCCAATTACTCAGATTAGTAATCATCTTACTTGGCAGAAAAGGGAACTGGAAAGCAATAAGTAACATATCCGAACACGGTCAATGGCACATGTATTAACAAAAGATGTGAAAAGGAGCCTTGAATGAGAAAATGAGGGAACCTGGGGAGATGGATAGAGAAAAAGAGAGATTGGGGACTTAGGAGACATGAAAAATATATAATGTCGACTGTTTTTCTCTCTTTTTTTCCTCTGCTGTGTGCTTTTATTCTTTGGTTTACTAACTAGTACTACAGCATGCATTTAATTAACGTAAGTGAGAAGGTAAGAGATGTACAAATATGACAGATGCTCTTTAGAGCACGCAGTGATTAGTGTGATCAGTCACATTACTTCCACTGCTATCTCTGCTTTGTACCTTGCCCCTCTTCTCTTCTCACATCACTCGTCTCACTGATCATGCCAAAGAGTATGCTAGGAGAGAGGATAGGCTGAAATATTAATGCACTTTTTTTGTAAGTGTTCTCTTACTCTTCTCTTTCTTCACAAGCTGGATCACTTCCATAGTACTCATTCGGGAATGTCAGTACTATTTCTGTTCCATTTTCTCTATATAACCTCCATCCATCTGTTCAGTTGGCATCTTCTCTTTCCGTCTTCTATCTTTTCACCCTTCCCTTCATAATAGACATGCACATTCTTAACTCTTCTAGTTCGTTTATGTCTGTCCCCGTCTTTTCAACCTCTTCCTGCTCACAGGCTGCCTTCGGGAACCCAGAAGCAAATTCCGTCGGTAGCTCGTGCATGAAGGTTTGGAGCCTGAAAGTCTTTCATCACCGGTGGAGAACAAAAAGCATAGTATAAGATTTGAGCGGTGCTATCTTATCTGAGCTTAACTTTAAGTATATTTAAATTTAAATTTGCATGGTTATTTTTCTTGACCTTGCAAGACTTTGTTCGTATTAATTATTTTTTTTATTATTTTTTTATTAATTTATTATATTAAATTATGTAACTTATCCCGTTCAAATCTTCCATTTTTTTTCCTTTTGTTATTCCTCCTGAGCTTGGTTACAAAAAAAAGTCTTGCTAAGATCATGCAGACTTCAATTGTTTGTATTAAGAGGGTTCTATCTAGTTATTCCTTTGGTATGACGGGGAGAGCCTCTCATTCACCCTTCTTCTATTTTTGTGGCTGTTTCTTGTTTTTACAAAATATGGATCTCTTTTTTCTTGCATGCATGTAATGTCTTTCATGCAAGTGCAGTGGAACTAGTTAACTACATTATCTGTTCAGTCTCTGATGAACTCAATCGAGGTTCGACAACTGCAATTTTATGAGAATTTGCTATCAGATTTTGACTAATCCAACCCGAAGTTTGATCTGTTATTTTAGTACTACAAATCATCTCAGACGTATACAAAATACTGCATATCCACCATTATTCCCTCAATAATTAAATTACACTTCGCAGCCAATGAGAGATTGAGATTTTAACTTGCTTTTGGTTTTACTGAAACAACCATGACAGTTATTCAATCTATGAGGCATGAGGCTTGAGCAAGCAATTCTATTTATTTTTTGGGAATTCCGACTTTGGTAGGAGAAAAATTAATCAGGATCTTCATAGAGAACGCAAAAGCTTGAAGCCAGGTCATATGTTCTACTAATCATAAACTACGCAGGATGTTATAGTTCTATATACCCTATCAACTTCTGAAATGGTCAGTTTGGAGGAAGATCTGCTGAGTTCTGACCAGAAAATCGAAGAGAAGGAAAATTAAAAGTGAACAAAACAAGAGAACAAAAGTCTTGTCACATTCAGCTTTAGCATGCAACAGACGTTTTAGGGCCAAATTCTTTTAATTTTATGAAATCACTTTCCCTTGAGTGAGGGAGGGAGTGGATGGGCTAAACTCGGTTAATCCGATTTTAATGCTTTCTTTCTTTCAATGATTATGTTAAAATCTTGTCAAAGTATCACATTATTACGTTCGATATTGTTGATTGAGGAGAGATTTGTGCAAAAACTTTTAACAACCCCCCCATTGGATTTTTGCCAAAAAGTTAAGGAAGGGAATAAAACAACGTGGCCAAAGAAACAACCAATCTCATCAACCTCATCCCAATGATGTCACCCTTCAACCCTTTACACAGTTTTCCAATGATGAAGTTCAAATACTCTTGTTTAATGCTGAGGTTCGTGCATGTTGCACGCTAGCAGCAATACGTCTGGACAAAAATTTTAAGGTATATCTAAGTTCAAACATAACAATTCAAGACACTTGCAACAATTTACGTTACTGATCATGGTCAAGCTTGTTGCATTTTCCTTCGCAAGTCAAGATTCATTTCCTCCATGGCAAAAGAACATTTCCAGTTAGTCTTCTTTATCTTAAACTGTTCACTAAGAAGTGGATAATTGAAGTTATTTTGGCAAGAGTAACGGCAGAGAGTGTGCCCGTTTGACTAATTAAGGTGAGAGTGACTGGGGGCATTCACACTGACTAGTCGCTTTCTTTGTATCCTGATATGCTACCTGCACTAGAATTAATCATCCTCTTGCAAGTTGCAATGATGTTGGCGACGTCTACGGTGGAAAGTCACTTGTCTGCCCATGGTAGGTAGAAGCAATGCAAATGCAAGGAGGCCAACTGTTTATTAATGCAAGGATACGCTACCTGCCCACTGATGTTTCACCACATATACACATTCAGCTGCACATAGGCATTGATCCTTTGTCTTTTCCAGTACAATTGTCGTTGGGACAAACTAAAGCCTGAAGCCAGTTCTTTTGCAGTTTAACTCTTTCTGTGTTTTCTTGTGTTGACTTTCTAATTCTGTGGCTATTCAACCCAAATAGTTGTAAAGACAATTTGAATTACTGACAAGGCCAAGGCAAAGCAACTCAGGCTTCAGTTTTGAATAGAAAGCATGTAGTGTGGCCTTATCCAGCTATTAGCTCTGAAAATTGAACTGCAATTACACAATTGTTTGAGCTGAATTTTGCAGCCATCAAGTGGGATATGCAGTTGCCACTAGGCCTCTGACCTGGTGGTCACCACCAGTCTTGTTTCCTTCAATCCTTGCCTCCCACCAATTTACCATTAGATGTGATGGCTTTAATTGACTTTCTTCGATGGAATCTCTACTCATATCGAGCCCCCCTCCCCCTTTTGTCTAGATTAGACTAGATTAAATTATAGAAATTCTACCATTGTGACCAAAAAAAAAAAAAAGTGGGAGGCGCAGTTGCCAGAGTCTAAGAACTTATTTCAGTTTAGTCATACCTGGGAAACTGATGGACAAAGTAAACTAGCTATTGCTCTGACTGGGAAAAAGTAATAATATTATTAATAACGGGGAAAAAAGCAACCCATAATTTACTATTCGAAAGCAAGAATCGGCCTAGGTGATTAAAAGGCCCCATTTGCATAGATTTGATTCTCATAGTTGCATTGTCATGACCCTCTTCCCCTAAAACAAGCCAAACAGAAGTTCATCATGCACATTGTTAATCATCTAGTCGGCCATGTTATCGTCTTGTACATAATCAGTGAGAACCGTGATAATGGATTTAATCATATCATCCTTGAGCCAACTTCTGAGACGTGGGTAGGGCTACTGGAGTGCATAGTTCATCCAGCTCACATTGAATCCAGAGAAGCAATACTTCCACACTTGGAGAAGCTCCTGCACATTCGCTGCAAACAGACTACTTTGAATCCCTGTACAAGCAGTGATTGCTTCGATCTCAGCCTTATTTCCTGTCTGCAAGCAAGGGTGGTGGTATTTTGTAGACCAGCTTCAGATAGACTGCAGTTGTCTGTATTGAAGTGATTAACATGACTGACCTCATTCTCTACGTGATAAGAGCATGTCATGACAACCAAAATCCTTGCATAATGAGAAGAGTCTTTTCCATGTCAAAAACCTAAAATTTCTTGTTCTGAACGTTTCACCTTTCTCCTTCACGCAACAAGTATCAAATATCTCTTTCTTTCTCATTTCTGGATGAACCGTTACAGGAGATATTCCGTATACAGTATATACAAAACCAGAAAACAAAAGATTGAAAACTATATCCCGGACGAAAAGATGGGTGGCGAGATACCAACGCTTTCGCCAAGTGAAAAAAAACAATGAAATTCAGCCTGCAATGGTGCAATAAATCGAAAAAATCTGAGCCTGACTTTGTAGAATAAAAATTCCATCTTCAGAAGGAGCTTTCAGTCGCTATACATTGATTCAAAGAACAGAACCAGCTCCTTCCATCAGTTTGAGAAGTTGAACGCTTCAAGTTCAATCTTGAACACCTAACCAAGTGTTCCCTCACATTACGGTCAACAGACCTAGGAACCAAAGAAGGACTTGTGTCTGGAGTCCCCATGCAGAGGCCAGGGCTGAGTCTCATTGACGGAAACCTTTGGCAGCTAAGCGAGCGAAAAGAAGAACCAAGAGGGGTTATTCGGACACAGTAGGAGTCAGGCTTACAAAATGGGGTTTCCAGTGAAGCTATTTCCGGACCATCAGCCGAACAAGTGCAAAATGGAAGGGATAAACTAGTTCTTGGAATTTCTTTCCCAATTGGCTTTAAGTCCTTGAGTTTAACAAATGAAACTATGCCATGCCGGCAGAGGGGGCAAGCAATTGAGCCTGGGGGTCCATGAGCCACTGCTGAGGTGCGATTTGTGGAACATAGATACAAGGCACAGCGAGTGCAGAACTCATGGAAACAACCTGCATGAGAGAAGACCTTTCATGTTCTGACAGGTTGAAGAATAATTTCACGAGGCTATGCTGCAGCTTAAATGTTAGCCTATAAAAAGCTGAAGAAAGTGAAATTTTAACAGTGCTTTGAAGATCCAAATTAAACCATAATAACTTTGCTTTTGTGGTTAAAACATGAATAAGAAAGTGAAAGAAAAATAAAGTAAAGGTTAGTGCTGAGAAATGCAACGACAAGCCCATCCTCATAGCACAGAAAGAAAAAGAAAGCTTAAATACATCCATTGCCAAACTAAACTCATGCTTTTTCTTTTAAAACTGACTCAAATAATTTTCCGTCACGAGAATGAGCAATTATACATCTCTCCTTGAAAACATGAAAGCTAGACCTAGTCGACATGAAAGTAAAGCATGTTAAAAATCTCTAGCATGATGCTGACTCAACAACTATATTTCACAGCAATTAGTAATCTAAGGTGCTCCTTTCTGTCTCAGCACAGAATACACTAATAAGCAATAACACCGATCTTATAAATCACCGGCGTCCTGAGATTTTATTTTGGACAAAATGTACTTGGGCTCAAAAACATTAAGCCAAATAATTGCAATAACTACACATCATAATAGATTAGTCACATGTGAAAGTTACTAAGATGGGAATCAGTCGAGTGATCTGATCCTGATGTGTTTAATTGTGCTGAAAGTTTTTTTTTCAATAAAGTGCTAGTCCCCCTATTCTGTCTGCCACTCAGTGCTTTTCTAACTAGTCTACCATAGCTTCTAGCGTCTTGAAGATAAGATAGCCTTTGCCACTCAGGAAAAAAAAATTACAACAATAATAAAAGGGCAGTAGAATTGCAAATGACTTAAATCTTTTCCACGTATTTATAACAGCCAAAGGTGGGTTACATCATGATTTACAGTCCTAGGTGCTTGCATTGTTCATATCCATGTGATATACTTTCTTGGATTGCAACAACCTCAGTTTGAGTTTATATTTTATTGATAAAATTCCTGTCTCCAGATGCAATACAGTTTTATTTAGCCACTAATTGTCATCATTACACAAATAGGAACTCATTTTGGTCAACAAGTAATTTGATTATTATCTTCAAACTTGGGTATTATTCAACTTGGGTAATTTGGTTATTATCTTCACCAGCAACATTGCACAATATATTGATTTAACAAAGAAGATACATCTTCTTGTTTTGGTTATACTGCTTTCAAGGTAATCATCCCAGCTTATGTGATTGCGTAAAAGAAAAATAAAACCTCAGCACCCGTCCCGTCCCATCCAAAATCCAGGAAGGAAAAAAATTACATGGGAAAGCGAAAAGAGAGATGAGCAAAAGCCAGTTGCTGTTATGTACACATAGAGCATACCCAACTGTCTGTCTTCATATCTAGAAGCATATGAACTCTTTCATGTCAGTAGCATCCAAGTTCTGAAACTACATACCTTCTGCAGCCACTGTGCACCTTCTCTCTAAGCAAACAACACATGGGTCTACACATGTATTATGCGAATCACAGCTTTTCCACCCACATTCTCTGCAAACCAGCCAAAACAAAATGTAAATATTTTAAACTAAAATGCAACTTCTTATCCCATTATGGCACCTCGTGTATATAACACAAATGGTCTAAAGCATGAATATATGAAAGCATAACAAGAAGTGAAGAAAACTTCTAGCTGTTGGTTAGCTTTACAGCCTTATCCAAGTCTGGCACAACTAATTCTGATGCCTCAGAAGCTCTCTCTTGATAACATGCAATTAATCAAAACCACAAGAATTTCTTGGAACTCAATGTCCAACTCATAACTGTAAAAAAGAGGAACCTAACAACCAGAAAGACGAATAACAGTACCACTTGAGGAGACTAGGGAAGCATTCAAGTGGGTGGAGAGAGAGAGAGAGAGAGAGAGAGAGAGCAAAAGAGAGTGAATTAGCTAGAGTTGTACCAACTAGTTTATTTGTTTTGGATGCATCAGTTGTTATACTACTAACCAAAAGAGGCAACTAAAGGCAAAATTTTGTTAACAATTTTGTACGAGCAATGGTAAACAAAGAACTTCTTGCTACAAGTATTGGCAAATTTTCAAACTTCATAATCTTGACTAAAATCCGCCATCAATATCACCCTGAAAGCCACAAACAACAAAATCTAATGAGAAGAACTTTATTAGCAGTCTCCTAAGTCATTCTAGAAACAGAACAGAAATTTAAATCAAAGAATAGGTAATACATCAAGGATCGAAAGCATAAGAGCAAATGTTGCAACATATTTTTTTATGACCAATGATCCATTTGATGCATCAAAATATGTGCCTTGAGAAGGTATATTTGAATGCGTGGAGGCCTGTGCATGTGACATGGTATACTACTGAGCATGGATTGGAATCATAAACCTTAATGAAAGCTCATATACGTAAATCAAGAAAGCACTACCCTTGGCAACAATAGTACAGAGTATGGTGTTGCGCTCAATTAAGTTTGATAATTAAACTATCCTACTAATAGTTCACCTCACCTAGCTATATTGACAATGCTCATAAGAGGAAGACAGATATATGGTGAAGGTTGAAGCCGTGGCTGCCCTTCTGGTCGTCTGCTAAGGATCTCCTCAAGCCATTCTCTATGCCATGAACGAGCAACCATCAAGGGACTCCATCTATGAATAGAAACATACAAGCACCAAAGAAGGGGGTATCATTCACTGGCATTAATCAATGAAAATCTAAGAAGGAATACTTAATCGTGTTAAAGACAATATTCCTGATAATTCCCAAAAGCAGCATCCGGATAATTGTATCACCACCATACATACTTATAGATAATCACCCAAATCGAGCACTAGAGGTCCATTTCAAGTATGTTATGAGCTCTTATCAGAGAGCACATTGGAGACATGAATGTTCAAGTCAATGCTATCACTATTTTATTCTTACCAAGATTATTGCATACACTAACATCTGCTAATCAGATAACTTTTCAGGAAGCAAATTAGTAGCGCAGGCAAGTCACCGGCAACAAAAACTTGGAAAAATGGTAGGAATAGTAAAAGATAAATTTGATATTGGTGCATACACTGAATTCATTTAGCAAGATTTGGTTCAGAGCACATTTCTGAAGGAATGCGACAAGCAACCACTATTAAGAGGCTCATTCTTTACTATGGCAAGTCAGAAATACAGTAGCCACCTATAGACGATTTCCATGGAACAGTAGGTTCCTACTGCTCCGAGAACATTAACTTGCAGTGTGATCCTAAATAATTAATGACTTTATTCTGAAACATGGCCCGTTAAGAAATTTTTTTTTTTCCGAGTAATTTCTCCTTTGCAGTCATAAGGAGTTTGACATATTCAGCTGCCTGACCAGGATAACTAGCAAATGATATAAGCAGATTCTTGAAGAAGATTCAATCATTTATTGTTCTAATAAAACCACAAGTCCAATTAAGTAATTGAAACTTTTGTGCCACGTTAAATTTCGCTCGACTATCAGGTAACAGACTGGTAAAAGCAGCAGACATAATTAATGAGCCAAATCATACATACCCATTTGCATTTTCTGTTGTGAGACTGGCCCCCCTTGCAATCAAAAGCTGAAACCAAACAAACAAGAATGATCCAATTAACTTACTGACTATAAAAGAAGCTCCCAGGCATCATCAGAAAATTACCTGACAACATTGTGCATTGCCTCCACATGCAGCATAATGAAGTGGCGTGCTTCCTGCACCTGCAGATTTAAATTCAACCTAAAGTATCCCAGATTTGATAGTTTCGTCATGATAATTGAAATGACAAAATCACAGCTATGTCAAAACCTACCAAAGCATGACAAGCGAAGACTTCTATATGTGTCTATTCTAAATAAAGCACGGAGATCATGGGCCAGAATCCATGAGAAACTTGAAAAGAGAAAGAAAACCAAAACTTTGTCACACCTATTAAATCAATTGTAGTTCCATCCTCCACAGTAATATCACTTACAGAAGCCCCCAAGTCCAAAAGCAGTTGAACAGTTTCAGAATGCCCATTTAATGCAGCCATATGAAGAGCAGTGATGCCTCCATCAGCTGGTCTATTGATAACTTGACAAAGTGCACTGGTGCAATAACAGGCATGGCAATTATCAGCATAAAGAAAGAAAGAACTGGACTGCATACTTCACAAACAATTACTTGATATGGCCATTACTCTTCATCAAATCCTGATACTGAGTCTTCGTTCTTCACTCGTTTTCTGAGGATACTGCAGAAATTAGGAACACTAGGAATATAATCAGCAAGGAGAAGCCGGATGGATTGAGAATGTCCATTCAAAGCAGCCAGGTGAAGAGCCGTACCCCCATTCAAATAATCGGCTTTGTGAATCTACAAACCAGTACAAATATAAGTTTGATAATCTTTTTTCTTTCCTGTACAGAAAGTTCAAACTATGGATTATGACAAATAAATGTATACAAAAAGATTCAAGGAAAACGTTGCCATACATTAGCTTTAAAAATAATCAAAGTCTGAACAACCTCCCAATGACCATACTGACAAGCTTGCATCAAAGCAGTCTGTTCAACAGATAGATAAACATCAATTTTTGGTGTCATCTTTCAGTTTAGGGAGATTGAAAATGTGAACACTACCTTACGGCCTAATATCAGAAAGTATTGATCTTGTAGTTACTGTCTAAATTGTACAACCATAGAAAATATCACGAATGCAGAAAAATATGTTTTTAGAACTAGGGTCCTACCTGGCCACGGTAGTTCCTTAGATTAATATCAACTCCAGATTCAATCAGGAGAGATACAATCTAAAAGACAAAGAAAAATCAATTAATTATCATCGCATAGGATTGAAGCACCTGCTCAGTAACATCAAGAAATTCAGGGGAAAGTCAAATTGAATTTTGGATATATATTTACAAGAAAAAACTAAAACTGCTATACCTCATGGTGGCCTTGAGCTGCAGAATAATGGAGGGGGGAATTACGAACACCAAAGGTTGAGTACCTCGCCAGGCGGGGATTATAATCCAGTAAAGCCTTAGCTTCCTGAAGATCACCATCTCTTGCTGCAGAAACCAGTCTCTCTCCAGATGCAGAGCATCCAAAAGAGTTTCCCACAAGGCTGAAAAATCTCATAATCCTCAAACTTGACCTTAATTCCTCAAAGTGATCTCATAACAATCAAACGATCCCCCAACACGGATTTAAATTTTGCTTGTGACAGCTCAAAGTCCCAAACGATCATAACAATCATGTATGACTACTTGAGGATGCAACAACCTTAATCTTCTCTTTGCAAATCAGATTCCTCGTTTTCTACCAAATTAATGACAACCCAACAACCAAATTTTACTCTCAGAAACATCCATAAAACATCTGTTACTAACCCCTCATCAAGAAGACCATATATCTCTTCTATAGAAACATAAATGCCCTTTCAATACCACCAACTCTTGTGGCTTTCCAACTTGATCATTATATAAGCATCTACGTATAATTTTGTTTGTGTGTGGTACACAATTGATGGAGACAGACTTTCTATACAAATGAAAAGAACTTTTCAACACCAACAAACCCAAAAAGTAAAACAAAACTGACCATATTAATATTATAAACAAAATAAAATATGTGATCAAGAAAGTTCTGATTTTTACCAAATGATTACAAGCTTCTTCACAATTTTCCCCTGAAGATGACAAAAGTTGGACAACCCTCTTGAGAATTCTTCTATACAAGTCTGATTTCCCAACCACCACCTCAAAATTTTCCCCACAAATTTACAGAACTAGAAAAGCCCACCTCCAAAATTTCCTGAAAAGCAAGAATGTCCAAAACCCAGGTCCAAATTCTTCAGGGAAATTGTTATAATGAAGGATAAACGGGTAGAGCACAGATCACAGTGTGTTTAGAGAAAGCTCAAAAAGAAAAAAATTTCCCATTTTTGGAAACTCTATGTAAAAATGGAGCTTCCACTAAAAAGATCGTCCGTCTCAGGAATAAATACAAGTAGTTAGACACAATGAAAATGATCCAGCAAAAAAGGCTCTTTTCTTTTCCTTTTTTTTGCTGAACAAAATTATATCCAAATGAGGTGGATATAAAGCTGAAAATTCGGTGTTTTATAAGTTTGTGCTGTGAAAAGGAGGATAAAACGTGGAAGGAAAAGAATATACAGTTATTAATAAAAAGCCAAAAGGGATTACAAAATTATTTGAGCAGATTAAAAGAGGAACAATGTGGGGGTTGGGGGCAGCGGGGTTCTCGCCAAATTGGATCAAAATTAAACCAAGAATCATAAGCCTGCAGGAAAAGCGTCGATTTCATGATTGGCTGTTATTGTTGTTGTTGTTATTAATAGGAGTCAAGTTTGCTTGTTGGCTTTCCTTCTTTAATTTCTTCCATTTCAACATCTACTTTGTGTATCTGTATTTATCTCTTGCTCCTCCTCTCTGTTTCTTTATTTGCTGGCCTCCTTCATTTCCTTTTCCTTTTAAATTTCTTTCCTTTTCATTCCTGGGGACCTGAGTTTTTCCATTGGCTTGAGTTGATTTGGTTTGATGCACTTGAATATTTATTCGAGCGGAAGCCTTTTTTTTTTTTTTTTTTGGGGTACGAAAGATAAGGAAGCCATTAATTTGGTAGTGGTCCATGTACAAATTTGGGTTGGAAATTGGGATATGTGACCAGACCAGTTAGTGGATAACTGGATAATGGACAGAAGTCTTTTGGTTAATTGTCAAATATACAACTCTGGATTTCCATTGTTATACCAGATGGTACCATAATACTTAGTAATACGATTGAAGGAAAGCGAAGAAAAGGAAAGTAGAGGATTCTAGTAAAAAAGAAAAGAAAGGAAAATAGAAAAAATTGGAATCCATCCATCTTGCTTGGATTACGGAAAAAAAGGGAAGGAAACTATCATGCATTAATTATGTTTTTATCCATAAATCTATCATGCATTAATAGATTTTTTAGAAAATTTTAAAATTTTTATTAATCTTGATGTCCTTTCCCTCCGTTTCAGTCCACTTTTGAAGGAAAGAAGGATTCTATAGTTTTTTAAATATTATAAAAATTTTTAAAAAGTACTCTAAAAAATAGTATAAATTTTTTTAATATTTAAAAATATTCCAAAATATTTTAAAAATTCTACTACTCATAAATATTTTAAAATATTTTCTAAAAATATCCCAAAATACACTTTAAAAACTCTACTATAGTAAAATTTTTTAAAAACACCCCCCAAAAATAGCTAATTCAAACAGAGCCATATTTTGTCTACTCCTTTAAATTAATTTTTCCAGTTGGTTTCTCCTGTTAGAGAAACCCTAACACAAGATCTAATGCTTGGATTTGAACCTAGAGAAGACATGACCAATGTGTGGCCAAATTTGACCTCAAGATTTTGAGGTACTCCATTCTAATTCCCAAGCATTCTCCAAACTTCTTAAATCTGATCTCTTCTTGTTAAAAAAAATTCAAAAAAATGTAGCCAAATTTGATTTGAAACTTTTTTTTTATTTAACCTCACAATCTACTCCGCTCCTATATTATAGGAGAGGGGGAGTCCAACTGAACTTGTATTGAGTTGGACGAATTTGATCTGATCATTTTGTGGTAAAATGTACTAATAGTTTTGGTATCCCAAGTGATTGGGGACCAAAATTACAATTCTCCCTCCTGTCAAAAGTAAATCATGTCACTTACTAAGTGGGATAGGTTGCTTTGAGGACATGACGGTATTAGTACTAAAATGCCACTCGACCTATAATTAGTCATAAACTTTTTCGCAATTATAATACGAAAGAGTTTACAAAAGCCAAGAATGTACAATTTTTTATTTCCATGTTTTGCGTAGATATGTGGCTTTTGCACAAATGTTTTATCCATCGAAAATTCTATTCCGATCAGTAGATAATCCAATAATTCTGCCTCTAACTCTTCACGGAGGATACGATTTATTTATTTGTTGAAATGTTAGGATACAACTCTCCTAGTGCAAAGAGAAAAAAAAAAGAATTTTTATTATTCTTATTGGTTTTTTTCAAATGAATAGGCATGAATTCACGGCCTTTTTCACTTGAATTAGAATATACTTCTTTTTGTATGTAAAAAAAGCAACCAAAACTGAGGTTATGGACCACTGCAGTACAAACTTCGAATTGTTTAAAGAGAACGAAAAGGAAACAGACACCTTAAAATGGTGGGAAACGTAATATGATAGCTTGCTTGATATTTAGGTAAGAATTGATAAATGGGATTAAATTTAGAGCAACATAATGAATACTATCACTTAAGCTCACGTGTCATCTATTCAACCGTGATAATGTATACATTGATAGTATATATAAAATTTACTCTTTTTGTAATGTGTACACGGGACAATCATTAGTATACTTAAATTACACATAATGTGAATGCAAGTTCACAATTATTGCACCTTTACATTTGAAAACTTTTTCAATTTATAAAAAAAATTAACACCGGAAACCTTTCTTAGCAAGTGCAGGGGACACTCATTAGCCAAACGTTTTAGCAATAAAACATAATCATAGTCAGTTAAAACTATGCTAGATCAGAAGTGTCTTTATACAATGAAAATACTAATATACGCTTGCGAAAATGTACATGAAAATACTAATAACGTTTTTTCCTTATTTTGTCAACCAGCAACTATTTCTTGTCCACAGAGATGGTTAATTTATAGATCATGTTGAAGTTTGAAATGAAATTCCAGTTTAAGCTTAATTTGGAGAGTAAATTGTCCATAATCTTACTGAACATCACCTATGCAGTTGTCCTGTCAAATTTCGATGAAGGCTGTAAATTACTTAAATCAGTGTCTTGATTTAACTGACCTAATAATTGGTAATATTATTGAAGTTTTTCTTAGTTTTTTGCTTTCAAGGTATAATAGTTGATTTGCAAAATCACATTCCTTTTTTTTTCTTTTCGTTCTTGTGTGCTTCTTTATTCTTTGTTGAGTAAAATCTCCCTTATTGTATATTATCAAAGAGGAACCAACAATGCTGATTCATATTTCCAAAAAAAAAAAGAAAAATTGTTCTCTCTTTTGTCATTGACAACCGTCAAACTGGCCTTCTTAATTTAAAGAAATGTGATTAACCCTAATCATGTGCATCTTCAATTTTCTTTCCCTTTTATTTTTCAGTGAAAGGAGTAACAATTAGTATTATTATAGGTTATTTAGTTAAACTATGCGATTGTCCAGGCTAACAGTCTAAGGAATCTTTGGCGATTAATTATTTGTACGTATTATTATTATTAATCAATGTGCTTTTCTCATCTAATACTTTTCTTCCATTTGTATACACCAAAGTACTCACGCTAGCTAGTAGTGGGATTTCACAAGATCGGACAAGCTTCTTTAATCATATTGAATAAACTAAAGTTGAAAGATTTTGTGGTTGCAAAGTGAGAATCTTTTCGCCAATTGTAAATCATAAATGAAAAATGATTAGTTGATAGGGTTGGCAAAGGCAAGTCTTGAGAAGATGCCGACCATACAGACCTCTTGTATTGGGAACTATTATGTGTTTTTAGTTTGTGCGTACGAGACGAGGAGAATTGCTTGAAGGTGTGTGTTAATTGCTCTTGATATTAGTATTTAACTTTAGGAGGAAATGAAATTGAACATGTACATGGTTTAGCCAAGCAGGCTAAGGTCTTTGTATGAGGTCTTGTCTGATTTGCTGTGCTCTTGCTTAATGCCTTAATCTAATAATCTTAATGACAGACTTTGCAGTTTATGACTCTAATTTTCTGCAGTTCTTTTCTACAAAAGCAAACAATAATAATAAAAAAAATGGAAAAATATCACTTTATTTCATCCCACGCATGTCTTTCTATCTGCCAAAATTAGAATGCTTTTCGATATGGATATAACTGAGTAAGTAAGAAGATCTTGTTAGGAAGTAAGTTGATTTATTTGATAACTACGTAGTAGTCGGGTTGAAGCATCAGGATATTTTCTTGAGATGATCGATTTGCTCTGACAACTAAAATCATAATTAGCATTTTGAACTTCATTAGTTTCCTAATGAAAAGGACTCTTTCCGAGTTACCAAAGTAAATTAAACAAGTCATGCCTATAAACGTGTGCACTCGTTAATATATTTAAATCATATCAAAGTTATCATATAAATACACATACGTATATTTATTGTATCCTCTGAATTGCGACATTCTATTCTTTTTTAAATATTTCATTTAATGCATGCTCAATAGACACATGTTAGTCAAACAGTAGATGAGTTGAATCATTGGATGGGCAAATAGCAGATATCTTTCAAAAAATCTCTTGTCAGTATTCATCAAACAATGCAGCAAGTAGAAACATAATTTCTTAACAAACAAAATATTGATATGCAAATAAAAAAAAATATTGGTAGGCAAATAACATGGGCTGATGAGACACTGAATGAAACCATCAATGGTTAATCACCAAGTGAAAAGCATCAAATAACAAAAACCCTTATTAGCATTATGAAAAAAGAAGGCCTTGGATGGTGGTATCCTGCTTTAGAGATCCGAAAATTGTAGGCACATTGTCCATTCTGAGGAACTGCTCCAAGTAAGGAAGTATTACTTCTCCATTTTCAACTTCGTACTCCCGCAGGCCTTCCATCCATGCTCTCAAAAGTTGACTCAAGAACATGGCTGCAGGTCTTGTTACCTACATCCAAGCCCCTGCATGAATCAAGCCAACTAGATGATGATCTTAAATTTTGCTCCATCAAGTCTAGGCCACACTAGGAAATTAGCCTCAAAACCTTAGTAATTTTGGACAAAAAGCGCAAGGTGCAAGTATAGTAGAAAGAAAAGCAGGGGAAGTGTATGTACCATCGAAAAGCCTTGAAAGTTGGAATGACATTGACGAGGTCAGCATAGACCTTGATAAGTTGATCAATTGTTTCTTGAAAGACACCGTCTTCGAATTTAAGTAAAAGCCAAGTGCTTTAAATCTCCTTTTAGGCTTCACTCGCTTTTGTTAGTATGATAATTTCCTACTGGTCCGTTCTATTAGATATAGAGTATGTGGGAACATGGTTGGTTAGTGCCCTTGGATTTGGCTGTTTGCCCTGCTTCGTCATGGATCGAGCATGGGATGATTTGTTGCTAATTGGGCCAATTTCTCCACATAAACTTGAGATGATGCTACAAATTTCAGAATATTTAATTTTTAGTATAAACCAAATTAAAATCCACCTACTCCGGAAGGAGGATAAGTTAACTTATTTGGCTGTGGATGTTTG